TTCTATTATTTTTTATAATAAAGTGTTATCATTTAAATTATTTAATTTTATTTTTTCAATATATCAAATACTTATGTAATGTTATTGGCAAGACTAGAAAAAGTAAACTTTAATACTAATTTTAACACACGACAACAAAAATTACTTTTTAAAGATAAAATACATTTAAAAGATTTTTTCTATAATAAAATTTTAATTAAGTAAGATATTTTACTAATTTATAATACTTATGGACATATATTTTATTTTTATAATTTTTTAAGGACTAAATATGTTTGAGTTGGGCCCCGGTTTGGTTTTCTCGTTGGGACTAAATACGTACATATGGACAAAAAAAAGCTACAAAATCACAAAATGACAAAACACTTGACTTTGGATGCAAAATTACCAAATTGACCCATATACAAACAAAAAGTAAAAAAAGCATTATTTCCAATTGGAGGGCAATTTTGTCATTCCAATACAAAAAAGCCAAACAAGAAAACCAAAAAAACAAAGAAGTCTTAAGCTAAAAAAGTCAAAAAAGCCAAAAAGCCAATATTGCCAAACGACCCCTGAATATTTTAGGGATTCAATAGTTTAAAGATTAAATAAATTTTGATTTATGTATTTTAAGGATTGAGTAAATTCAATTAATAATTTAAGAATTAAATAAATAATTTGACAATAATGAGTGCTGTTATTAGCACCTCATCAATTATTTTGGATCCCCATTTCTTTGTATTCGCACTTATAAATTTTAAAACCTTTAAAATTTATTCTCTCAAATAATACCAAAACTATCCTTTTGAAAACATTCCACCAATTCAATTGAATGCACACCCCTAAAAAAACCTCTATCCCAAAAATCCTAACAAAACTCACGAATGTGATTACTATTTCATTTCCACATACTTGTTCATGACCTTATAGTGAGAAAATAAATGTAAGGTTTTTAATCTTCAATCCTTAGAATATATCAGCAAGAAATTGGGTTAGGATTTTTGTGCTTGAGAAAAAATAAGAAGAGCCAACTGTGATTACTGTCAATTGCCATGACAAGACTGGCTTGGGTTGTGATATTTGCCACCTCATCATTTTTTTTGGTTTGACCATTATTAGTGTTGCTTGTCTGTTCCCGAACAAATAAGAAATGTTCAGTTACCTGTTTCCGAACAAATAAACAATGTTAAGGATTGTGTTCCCAAATTGCGATCATATGTTCGGGAGCTTAGTTCTGAAAAAATGACGAACAATTTTTATTATTTTTGCCATTTTTCCCCCTAGGAAATTTACCTTTATAAGACTAATCTCATCTGAGTTAAGGGCACCATCAAAGTTGAAGGAACTTATATTGTTGTACTTCTTTAGTCTCATGGAATTATGATTGCTGGAAAAACTTCCACTTATTATCATTACTGAAGAAGTGCAGGTAATCAGATGGTTGCTATCGTTACTACTGGAATATTGACGCCAAATGTTTTTTAAGGTTTTGAGGGTGGACGGATTTGAAAGATGGGATTTGGGGACGATGGAGGGGTGATAATGGAAGTGGATACTCTCATAAACCTTAATTCATGATGTAATAGGTATGTGAGCTTAATTTTCAGATGTGGTGTCCCAAAATTATTGATATCATTTTTAATAATTTTATTTGAGATTATTATTGTAATAAAAAAAGCTAAAAAATAGGGGGTCTAAAATAATTGATGGGGTGATAATAGCAGCACTCATAATAATTTAAGAGTTAATTATCTAAAAGTCCTATTTACAAACGTTAAGGTAGCTCATGTCCTATTTAAGATTTTTTTAACCAATAAGTCTTATTTAGTAAAACTGAGAATATTATTAATTTTTTCTAATTTTTAAAATTAAGAACATTATCAATTTTACAGAGTAATATTGTTTCAGATAATTGTTTTACTAACTGATAAAAAAACAGAGCATGAGATTAAACATTTTTGCCATTTTACTTATTTGTTTGATTCAACTATCTAATAAAATCGAGAATATCAACAAACTTGTTTAGTTCTGGTTTTCAAAAAACAATTTTTAGAAAATTCTACTTTTTTATTTATGTATTTTAATGTTTTCAATGATTTTTTTAAATATTTTTAGTAATTTTTTTTTAATTTTTAGATACACCTAACAAAAATACACTTAAAAAGTATAATATTTGTGAAAAAATCTTTTAAAAATGCACTAAATACCAAAAATGCAAAAAAAAGAAGAAAATTCAGTACATTTTTCGTATTTTTATGTATTTATTAATTTTTATTTTTTTCACAAATATTTTACTATTTAGATATATTTAAGTAAGATACATCTAAAAAAGTAAAAAAATTACTTAAAGTTTTAAAAACATTCACTAAAAATAAAAAACACATGAAAAGTAAAAAACTCAATTTTTAAAAAATTGAATTCGAAAAATTGAAACCAAACATACTGAACAGTTTTTATTTATTTATTTATTTATTTTTTATTTTTTTCAGTTTTAAATTCAAGAACATTATCTGTTTTTCATTTTTAATATTTTTTTTTTCAGTTTTGCACATCAATGTTCTATCATCATGTCTTTTTATAAACACAAAAATTTCAATTTTGCACCAAAAAATAAATCAAATTTTTGCAAAAAAAATTACTTTTTTTTTTGCACATCAAAATTTTTATTTTTTTTTCGATTTAAAAGTTGATGTTTTAAAATTTTGAAAATCAAAATAAATATCGAATCGTTATATTCTTTTATAGATAATCATAAATAATAAATAATAATTATTTAAAGGGCAATTCTAATTATCAAAAATTTAATGAGATTTAAAAATTTAAAAAAACATAATTAAAACTTAAATACCATTTGAGAATAGATTATTTTAATAATTTTCTAAATTCAATTGTTTTAGATAATAACTTATTCTTTTTAGGGGTTTTTTTTTTAAGGTCCTTGATCTTATGATTTTATAGCATAAATGACATCAAATATTTTTATGATGTCTAAGGTCCATCAACAATATTTTCATAATGTCTAAGGTCCCTCAACCTTGATCCAGAGAAATTTCAGTCCAGAGAAAATTAGTGCAGAGAAATTTCAGTCCAGAGAAAATTAGTGCAGAGAAATTTCAGTCCAGAGAAAATTAGTGCAGAGAAATTTCAGTCCAGAGAAAATTAGTGCAGAGAAATTTCAGTCCAGAGAAAATTAGTGCAGAGAAATTTCAGTCCAGAGAAAATTAGTGCAGAGAAATTTCAGTCCAGAGAAAATTAGTGCAGAGAAATTTCAGTCCAGAGAAAATTGGTCCAGAGAAATTTCAGTCCAAATTTCTCTGGAAAATCTAATTATTCTCAGAATTTTATGCAGAGGGAGCCACACATACACCATGCATATTTTTGGTGAATGTTTGTGCACTGATAATCAAGAAATGTCTTTTTTATCTTGAAGAAGTTTACGAATGATTTTTTTTTGTTTCCCCTTCCCTTTTATCACTTGATGCAAGTTCTTCCCAATTCCTAAGAAAAAACAATGTATTGGCTGTAAATTCAAAATTCTTTCTACCATTGTGTTTCGTATACAATTCGTGGCCTTTATATTTCCGCTTCAGTCTTCCATTAATGGGAGAGTTCTACAACTTCTTCAGCGCCGAATCATGACCATTGTCATCATCTCACGTCACAGAGAAAATTGGTCCAGAGAAATTCTGGGAAGAATTTCTCTGGACCAACCCTAATAAAATTTAGTTCAAAAATCAAAGAATTTAATTTTCTCTGAACTTCACATTTCACAGAGAATTTCTCTGGTCGAATTTTCTCTGGACTTCACAGAGAAATTCTGGTTCACAACAAGTAGATGGCTGTCTACTAGAAGCATAATCTTCCATCCATGTATGATGTGATAAAGGAACTTTTTCTCTGTCCATAAAACATACAAAAGAGCATCCAGAGTCTTCCATCCATGCATAATCTTTCATCCATGTCTGTCCACCAGTGCTTCAAAAGAGCATCCTGCAAAATAAGATCATTGCTAGCTTGTGCTTCTACATCTTGCTTCTCAGTCTTTTCAATTTCAGGAACTAAAGCATCTGTTTCAAACATAGAATAAGTTGAAATTTTTTCCTCCCCAAAACTCTTAGTCTCCCCAGGCTCTGAAACAGCTGCATCTCCTACAACCAGACATTCCATTTCTTGTTCTTTTGCATCTTGCTTCCCAGATTCATCATCACACTTGTTCATTGTAAGGTGCAAATTTAAAGCATTAGGGACAGAAGAGTAGGAAAAGTGTATGAAATAGACTGTAAAAGCTTGACGGAATAGTAGGGAAAACAGGAGATGATGAATTAAAATGAAATTGAAGGGGTTCAAGAACTTGAAACCCTAGAATGAGAAAGTGTATGAAAGAGGAGGAGGAATAGGAACCTCGTTGATTATCGCCCTACATGTCCACAATTCTACTTCTTGGAGACCAATTAAGCATTCGACGAACGATGAGAGTGATGATTCATCGCCGATTGCATAGAAGCTTCGCAATTGGAGTTTCTTGAGCTGTTTACAACTCCTCCAGAGCCAACTGAGGCCGTAATCGCAGTGTTGAATCCCGGACAAACCTAGGGTTTCTAATTGAAGTTTGGTTTCGGAGTTTCCGATCATTGAATCGGTCAAATTGAGTTTGTGTAAATCGAATTGTCCAGTGTTGAAGACGATCGAGAGGTCTTTCAGTGAGTGGAAAGAGATGAGCCATTCTTTTATAGATAATCATAAATAATAAATAATAATTATTTAAAGGGCAATTCTAATTATCAAAAATTTAATAAGATTTAAAAATTTAAAAAATCATAATTAAAACTTAAATACCATTTGAGAATAGATTATTTTAATAATTTTTTAAATTCAATTGTTTTAGATAATAACTTATTCTTTTTAAGTTAAGTTTTTTTAATAATTTTTTTAAATTCAATTGTTTTAGATAATAACTTATTCTTTTTAAGTTAAGTTTTTAGAAAGAGTAATGAAGCCAAATAAAAAAAATTAAAAAAAAACCCTATAAAACAAAAAGGAGAAAACCCTCGGTTGCGTTCTTGGTAGGGTTTCAGATTCACAACTCTCTCTCTCTCTCCTTCTCTCTCTCTGTTTCTTTCTCTTTAAAGAAAACTAGTTGATCGAGTTCTCACTTCAAATCTCGCATTCGGATTCGAGATGGTAATTTCATTTCAATCTCTTCAACTATTCTGTTTTTGTTTTTGGATCTCAAGTTTTGTTCTTCGATTACTGTGCTTTCGGATGCTTAAATTCTATCCCTTCTTGTTTTTTTATGTGTTTGCAATGGATGATTTGTGCTTTTCAGGAAGTTGGAGGCGATTTGGACTCGAAGATAGAGTCACTGTTAAATGTGGAGAAGCAGATGAGGCTCGCCGGCGATGTCGCCGGTACCAAGAAGGCCGTCACTGATATTTTGCAGCTTTGTTTCGAAGCTCGTGCTTGGAAGACTCTCAATGACCAGATTGTCTTGTTGTCAAAACGCCGTGGTCAGTTGAAGCAGGTACGGAGACAGAAACATCGCAACTTTTGTATCTGCCTTTTCAATTTTTGGAGCAAGTGTCTGTGTGTTCTCAATTTGACTAAAGAAAATTACAAATCAGTGGTAATACTACAAAATATTTACAAATTCATGGAAAAACTTGTAACTTTATTTATTAAAATTGATAAACTTTTTCACTGATTTGTAATTTTTATTTTGGAAACTTGCACTGCAGTGCAATTTTCCCATTTAACTATGTGAACATGGGGAATGTTTGTTTCTTTTTCTGTAATGGGTCGTCACTTATCACCAAATTAAGGATTTAATGGGTTGTTGTTCTCTTGGAGATATAATTGTAATTATTTTAATGGGTAACTAGTGATTTTGTTTTGTTGATATTACTTGCAGTTGCAGTACAAAGACTCGTGGCCAATCTTTTTGAATTGATAGTTAATTATAATTTGACTGTTGTAAGAAACTAGGGATTGGACAATACCTGCATGCACTTGGACAACTATTTATGTTTTTGCATATGTTTGTTGGGCAGGGCATCTTGTTTTGTATGTCTATTTTTGTATCTATGCAAGTTTGTGTTTGTATGCTTTGCAAAGTTTTTTTAAAGGAGAATGCATAACGCAAGGTGTTTTATCTCTCGTGAAGTGAGGCGTATGTCTCAAGGTGTTGAGAGATATGAGCATTTTGAATTTTTATGTTTAGTAAATGAAATAAAATATTTTAAATAGTAAAAAAACATTAAAAAATGAAATATGGAGAAGTAAATCTCAAACATTTCAATGTAGAGAAGGAGACTTGCCTCTTATTGAGGTGAAATTGACATTATTCGTTTCAGTTTTTGAGTTTCTCACTTGAGCCTTATCTTTGTAGTTGTTCTTTGTTGTTTTTCTCATGCAATATAGTTACAAAAGACATATATATATATATATATATATAATACATAATTTAAACACAAATATATGATGACAACTAAAGACAAGCTCTCTATGTGCATACTCGTCATATGCTTATGCGCAAAAGGTGTATAAAGCGCAATTGAGGCATAAGCCTCGAACTATGATGCGCAAGCCTTTGGAGAGTGTCACCCAAAAATTGATGTTCTCAGTTTTAGTTATCGAGTTTCTCACTTGAGCCTTATTTTTGTATTTTTTCTTTGTTTGGATATGGAGCTGGGACACGAGACACGGTGATTTGAAAAAAAATAGAGGCACGAACACGGCGGTGGACACAAATTTTATTTTATTTTTTATATATTTACTATGTAGATTAATATTGTGTTACCAAACAATCAAAATTAATAAAAACTAACATTAATTCAATATATATAAACCGCTATATTTAAACAAATTAATAGATCCTTCATATTTGGACACACATGTCCCCAGAGTGTCCCTTGCAAAAAAAAAAAAACCTGAAATTAAAAAAAAAAAAAAAAAAAAAAAAATTAAAGATGTTGTGTTCCCGGCGTGTCCCCTGCAAAAAATAATAAAATTAAAGGGACTCATCGTTTGGCGTGTCCCCATGTCTAACACCGCTACGACATTTATTTTGAAGTGTTCGTGCGTCATAGGGTGTGTGTATCTAGTAAGCAATCACACAATATGGTTATAGTTTGGAATAGCATGCAATTTGTTTCAGTTTGGAACGGTTAATGCTTTTTCTTGCTATGTAATGCTATTTATTATATGTTCCTCTCGCCCAACGACATCCTCCTGTGTAACAGCAGTTCAACTCTTCTTTGGGATAAGAAATAGTTTGGCATCTAACTTTTCTGTGCTTCAGTTCTTTTGACACTTCGCCAATTGCATCAATACCTAAGTATTTCTTTCTATGATGGGAAGTTTTGCCTTATTCTCTTTATGGTAAGAGTACTGTGGGATCTTTTTGGTGCTAACCTTCTGTCATGGTTATTATTTTCACACAGGCTGTAACTGCGATGGTCCAGCAAGCGATGCAATATATTGATGAGACTCCAGATATTGAAAGTAAGATAGAGCTCATTAAGACGCTTAACAATGTATCTGCAGGGAAGGTGAACATTTGAAGATATTCTACAGTGCATTATCCTCACTGTGAGGTTTATCTTTTATTTTATATTTTTTTGGGCCCTGTTATTTTGTAGATATATGTTGAGATAGAGAGAGCACGATTGATCAAAAGGCTTGCAAAGATTAAGGAAGAACAAGGGCAGATAGCTGAGGCTGCTGATTTAATGCAAGAAATTGCAGTAAGTGTGGCATTAGGGATGAGTTTTTTCTTTTGGTTCGTAGATTGCTGGTGTCTTTCTACTATGATATAATTGAATTAAATTCTCGATTGAGGTGATTTTTCTCCCCACTCTTGGCACTTGTGGCATTGAATTATAGGTGGAGACATTTGGTGCAATGGCAAAAACTGAAAAAATTGCCTTCATTCTTGACCAAGTATGGGGCTCCTTTCTTTTCTTTTTATTATTTTTGATTGTTTTGTATTCTTGTTTTCTTGTCAAGTTTTGGTAGGAATAAAATGGTGATTCTATGAATTTTAAAATTTTGTAGGTTCGTCTATGTTTAGACCGCCAGGATTACGTTCGTGCACAGATCCTCTCTAGAAAAATCAGTCCAAGAGTTTTTAATGCTGATACTTCAAAAGAAAAGAAAAAACCTAAAGAAGGTGATAATGTTGTGGAAGAGGCTCCTGCTGATATACCGTCATTGTTGGAGTTGAAGCGGATCTACTATGAATTAATGATACGGTATGGGAATGCACTACCTTCTTTCCCTGATTTTCTTTTTCCATTATTTGTTGTGAAGACATGAACAAGGAAGCTCTATCTCATAGTAAACTTCACTTATTTTTTTAATATAAAGAAATTGTGTTAAAAAAGTGACAGAAGGGGTGCAACCTATGTACAAAAAGGTATTTGTATAAAAAGAGGCAACACAAAATTTGAGTTTAGTTATAAAATCTATAAAAGCAAATGAGGATTCACAGAAAAAAACCCTTCACACAGAAAATGTAAATTATGAAACAAAGCCATCTTGAGCCTTTGTATTCCCAATGCCGTATCTTCAAATGTACATGTATTCCTTTCTCTTCTCAAGTTTCCAATCACTAGGAGATCTAATTAATAGTGTTACCCACACCAAATCGGAATCTGCCACTCTAGTTAGCTATTAGATAGAGCTTCCTTATCTGCCTTAATGCTGAAAAGCCCCACTGATAGAGGGACATCTACGCACCACACATTATGCTGAAACTGAATTCCCCTCACATTGTCTAGAACATATCTCACATGCTCTGCAAATTCTATCGGCTTTCTCCTTTGGCCTTCCATAGGCCCACTTCATAAGGTTTCTGAACTTTAGAAATTCAACCTTCTAATCCACACCCAACTTGCAATCAATCACCCTCCTCCAAAGATGATCTTCTTCTGCATAGTGCTAAAGCCACTTTCCCAGTATTGCCTGATTAAACGAATAGAAGTGCTGAATATCCAAATCACCATCCTTCAAGAGGGATGCACCTCATCCCAACTCACCAAATGATATTTAAACTCTTTTTCAAGCCTGCCCACAACAGGTTCTTGTGAAACTTCTCTGGTCTCCCCTCCACTAAAGCTGACGGTGACATAGTGAACATAAACATGAAATATATGGGCAATCTTTCCAAAGTACTATTAGAGCGCGTTTGGGAATTGGCTTTTTAGTGGCTTTTTGACTTTTTAGGAAAGGACGTGCAAAAAAGTAGAGAGAATGATTTGACAACTTGGAGTAGCGTTTTGGCTAAAACCCTTGCTTCCCAAACAAGGTCTTAGTAAGAGTAACCTGCTGCCTTTTGAGAGATATTACCTTAGGCCTTGATAAACTAAGGGAAGAGATTCCAGTCAAACCTGGAGAAATCTACCAAACTTTACACATGCTGAACGTTTTCAATTGGATTAATCTCCCTCTTCCCTACATTAACTGTCTGCCCTAACACTATCTCAAAGAATATCAAAATATCCTGCAAGTGGCTCAATTGCTCCTTGTCAGCCTCGCAAAAACAGTGAAACACTACAATATCATTTGCAAAGAGAAGGTACTACTGTTGTTTGTTCCACTTTACCATGAACCTCTTATCCTCTAATCATTCCACCGTGCATTGCTCGACTGTATTGAAAATAAAGGGAGAAAGAGGATCTCCTTGCATGGACCCTCTAGAGCAGTTAGCATAAAATGGACCAGCAACTTGATTACTTGGTCAAATTTGAAGGGATTGATTTTTATTGGTGTTGAAAATTTTCTTTTTTTTGTGGATGATTTGATTAGTTGGTTTTTGGTGTTGGGGGTCTGTCACTTTTGTATTCTTTGCTTCGTCTTGATGCTTTCTCAATAAAGTTTGCTTATTTATCAATTTTTTTTCTTTGTTTATTCAATCCATATTTGATGGATCTTGTCAACTGCAAAGTTTTTAAAGTCGAATGCGTACCTTGAGGTGTTTTACCCCTCATGAGGCGAGGCGTAAGCCTCAGGGCGTTGAGGCGTAAGCATTTCAAATTTCAAATTTTAATATTTACTGAATAAATTAAATATTTTTAAATAGTTAAAAAAATAAAAACAAAATTAAATATAAATGCGTAAATACTTTTCACTTTAATGCGTTGAACATTTTACTGCATAGAAAGAAGTTTTCCTTCACTGAAATAGAAATCGTTATTTTTAACTTCAGTGATTGAACTTTTCACTTAACCATTAACTGTGTTTTTCTTGATTGATCATTTACTTAATTTTTCCTGTAGAATATAGTTGTAAAAATAGATTCTTTTTAATTTTTTATGTTTAACAATCTAATAGACTAAGTTTAACAAATGCCCAAGGCAACTTCTGCATGTGCATACTCCTCACATGCTTATGCGCAAAAGGCGTAAAAAGCGCACTGAAGGAGCATGTCTCAAACTATGATGCGCAAGCGAAAGCCTTTGGGGAGTAATACCTAAAAATCAAAACCTTGATGCGTTTTACCTTAGCCTCAAGGCAAGGCGAGCATCGAGGCGAGCCTTAAGAAAGCCTTTTAAAACTCTGGTCAACTGTATGACTATAGATATTAGGTGGAACGAGGCAAAGATCAAGCAAGTAGCATATTCTAAATGTTTAATTTGTTGGCATGGGAATGATCTATATTTGAAGGAGAACTCGAGGAAGAGTTATTTTTATTTTTATTTTTTCAGTTGATAGAACGATGCGGAACGTTCATGGAGACTTTATAATTTTATTTATGTCCTTCATATTTTATTTATAGTTAATTAGGATATTAATACTTACACTCTGTTTGTTTGGGTAGAAAATATTTTTTGTATTTTTTGGCATTTGATACAATGGAAAACGTAAGTCAACGGAAAATAAATTTCCATGGTCACGGAAAACAAGTCTATTTGTGCAGATGAGAATATGATCTTAGATTTTGGAGAGTGAAAAGATAGAGAAGTTTTAAAGATATATATATATATATATATATTTTGAAGGAAGGTGCTTCTAATGTTTTGGGTTAATTTGAAATTTTGACAAAACTTTGTCTGGAGATGCCTTCTGTCAAATCTCCCAACATTTGTATATTAACACTACAAAAAATTGTGACCGAACGTCAAATGCCTTTGACAAGCACTTCACTTTCAACACTCTTCCCTGAATCATTACTTGCAACCTCTCAATTGGTTCACACATTTCTCCCATATTTTCATATTTTTATATCATAGTGGATTCATGTCTATGATTAATTTAGCAGTAAATTTAATCAAGTGAACTTCAAGAGGAGGATTTGTCTGATGGTATACCGTTTAAGTTGATTTAGAGTGCCATCTGGAACGATGAGGTTAAACATATTCAGATGTACTTCCTTTGAGGCTGAAGATGTGGGGTTGATATTTTCCCTGAGCTTGCTTGTTTTAGTTGGCTGGAGTATGCTTCATTTGGCTATAAAAGTTTATCAAAGTTCACTTAAAGAAGGAAAAATCTCTGGTTTTTAATTTAGATAGAAAATTTTTGTATGGGCCTATTCAAGGTATAAAAGTTAACCTGATAGAAAGAGTGTATTTAAGACTTCTTAATCTGCATAGCTTTAATTTTTAATAGGAATCAGTGGTTTTGTGAGTTATCATAATTGTTGAATTGAGATATGAATTATGAATAAAAGTACTATTTTTTTTCAGAGCATGAGTTGAATTGAATGTTGAATCGTAAGATTTAGAAAGGTAGTGTGTGGTAACATTTACCTTTTTGTTTATGCTTAGAAAAAATTTGTAAACTTGTTTTTGTTTATTTTTAGAAAAAGAAAAACAAAAACTACGAACGTGTTTGGTTTGAAAATCTCAATGAACTTCTGAATTTGTTGAAAGTTCAGCCTAATTTGGATAGAATTCTGCAAGATGGGAGAATTTAGCCAAATTTTTTATGAAAAAAATCAGTACTTTGATTTTCCAACTCCATCCAAGAAAGAAAAATTCTGGAAAAGGGGTTTGTTTTTACAGGTTCTTATTGACTAAATTTCCCAATTTCAAAAACCTCTTCTCATATTTGCGAGTGCGAACACTTAAAACTCTTCAAAGTTGCATGCCCTAGTCTCTCATGGGCATAATATGGATGTGGCAATTCTTAAAAGTCAAAAGCCATAAGAGATGGAATGAAGTTTGGTACCAACAATCCAGTCTGAATTTCAAATGTGCTCTAAATATGGATTACTTACTGGAGTTTGATAGAAAATTTTTGGAAATAGTTAAACTGGACATTCTTAATGCCAAATGCAACAAAGCCTTAATTTTGGCTATGTGCTTTGGTGGTCTTTATGAGCTTTAATTACCATGATGGATTTTCTAGAAGGGAACAATAATAGGTTGTGGTATAATTTTATTGAGACATAAAGATTTCTAATTTGCTAAATATTGGGCACATTTTGGGCCTTTTTTCTTTGGTTGTGATAAAAAGAAGCAAGGTTTTCTTTCAGTTAACTAAAGAAAATTCTAGCGTTACCCTCATTACAGAGATTCTTATAAATTAGTGGTAAGAACCTTAATCCAGTAACTGTCTAAAGCAGCAGAGTTGATGGCAGATGGCAGGACCCAGATACTTGACTTGTACCTGTTATGGTGATACTGATTTCTCACTAGTTTTTCAAACAGACCTAGAAAATGATATATGAAAACCATGTCAATGTAGACATGTTAGAGAAGTTTCAGATGAAAGCTTGGAATATGAAAAGCTGTATACGTAATTGTTTTTAGCCCAATTTTTTTTTGATTTAATTTGTTGCAATTTCTTGTATATGAAGGTACTACTCACACAGCAATGATTACCTTGAAATATGTCGCTGTTACAAGGCAATATATGAGATTCCCTCTGTGAAAGAAGAGCCAGCTAAGTGGATACCGGTAAAGAAACTTAACTTGTGCTTCCTTAGAGATAAAAAAGAAAAGAAAATGCTTTCCTTTTTTTTACTTTCTAATAAAGATGCCTTGCTCAATCTTGTTCAGCTCCTCTGACAGTTTACTTCTTGCAGGTCCTGAGGAAAATATGCTGGTACTTAGTTTTGTCACCTCATGATCCTATGCAGTCAAGCCTTCTCAACTCTACCTTGGAGGATAAGAATCTTTCAGAAATTCCTCATTTCAGGTATGTCGTAATCAAACCCCCAAACCAATGACAACAAAACCATCCGAGACAATGACCAAAAGGTTAAAAAAAGCATAGTTTTTTAGTTTTCTGTATCCTATTAATACCATTCATGCTTATTCTTCTGTTTTGTCACAGGTTGCTTTTGAAACAGCTTGTTACAATGGAGGTCATTCAGTGGACGGCATTGTGGAATACATTCAAGGATGAGTTTGAAAATGAAAAGAACATGCTTGGTGGCCCTTTAGGTGACAAGGCAGCTGAAGATTTAAGACAGAGAGTAATAGAACATGTAATCTTTCACTACCCTTTCAATTACATGCTGTAATTCTTTTAACCTTTTGAACTTGTAATAATTCATCTACAAGACATTCCTTCTTTGCAGAACATTCTTGTTGTCTCAAAGTATTACTCAAAGATTACATTGAAAAGAATTGCTGAGCTGCTTTGTCTCAGTGTCCAGGTATGTCAATAATTAATTTATCGGATAGTCTTCATCAAATGGTTGTGATGCACTTATCTGCCCATAGAATAGTATGACGGGGTTGATTACTTTCTCACGTGAAAAGTCATTCTTGGGGATTTATATGATAAGTATGGGAGAAACTTTTTGTATGCCACTTGTTTCTAATGTTTTTTCTAATCTTATTAATTTTGGAGACTATTATTAGGGATAAATTATTTAAATGTTTAGGTTACAGCCTACAGGTATGAGCAACAAAAGGGACAGAAAAATATGATACATTTTTCAATTCAGATGTAAGGTTTATGTAGTCATATTTAATAGATGGTGAAATGAGACAAAAGTATTACATATCTGGTGGGTATAAGTTAGTTGCTCTGGAAAACAGTTCCAGCAGGTTAAAATTTGAAAGGAATATTATTTTTTCACATTATTGTTTACATTTTTGCAACAGAGATGGTGGTTGCTTTGTTGTCATGCTCAAAATAGTGTATAGTTGTATTAGAATCTAGGCTAGGGTATGTTACAAAAACATATTCTTTACCTTTAAAATGGGAAAAAGATTGTTTCTAAGCCATTTCTTGATGAGAACTTGTGTGTTTCCAGTTATGTACGAAAGCACAAAACTGACATCACTGAAGAAGACTAGGCACTAGACAAGATTTGAGTTTCAGCTTTAGGTTTTTTATTTTATTAGTGACATTTTGTTTACTAAAGCAATCTCTGGAAGACATTTTGTTTAGTAGAGCAATCTCTGGAAGGCGTAGGAAATCAGGGATACTATATATAGTTTTTCTATCTTTTACTAGTATTGTTATTATTATTTTTGTTAACATTGGAACGAAGGCACAAGGAACCAGGAGCACTACCCAGAGGGCTCACCATCATCCTCCAAAAAGGCTTCAGCAAGGTGATCATCGAAATGGATGCTGAAGAAGTTGTGAAGCTTCTTGAGGAAGGACCTGGTGAGAAGCATCTTTTTAGAGGATTGGTAGAAGACTCTAGGATTATCTTCAATGGCTGCCACTGTACTACCCAACACATCCTAAGAGAGGGAAACTTGTGTGATGATGGACTAGCCAAACTAGGAGCAGAGCAACCGGAAGACATTCTTGTCGTAAATGACCTCCCTGCCGAAATCAGAGCTCTTTGGTTTCGGATATGGTGGTCTTGCTAGGGAAAGGGCTTAGCCCTGTTTGTGTCTGTTTTCTTTCCGATGAGTCGAAAAAAAAAAAATTTTATTTTTTTCCCCTTGTTTACAAACATCAGAATCCTGTACCCATATGCATATTAGGTATACAAAATCTGACTATGACATCCCCTATCCATCTATGTTATGCTGTGAATCACCCAAAACTCTACAAATGTATTGGAGTGAGGGAAAAGTTGTTTGAACCAAAAACAGAAGAAAACAAATTAACAATTTAACACCATTAATCAACATTTAAACTGGAACACATTCTCAAAAAGGCGTATTCACCCATTACCTCAAATCGGCCACAGAAAACGCAAAGAAATCACATTCTAAGTGTTCCAACACCCCTGTGCGGACAATCTCCACAGAAACACCCAACAGATCACAAACTGTTCGTGGCATGACCAAGTCTATGCTGGGCATCAAGGGTTATTGGCTCCAAAATTCTGTGGCTACATTGCAGTTGAGTAAAAGATAATTAACATTCTTCTCTGTGCTTCTACATATATAACACCAATTAGTGAAGAAATTCTCGTGCTTCTCCAGGTTGTCAATTGTAAGAAGGGAAAGATTGCAATACAGCGGCAGTCTAAGCATAATATGTTTCATCTAAGGAGCTTTTGTAAACCAAACTCCTTTCTTAAAATAGAAAGTAACTCCCCTCCTGCAAAGTTCTTTATAGAATGATTTGGACTTTGAAAACACCTTTCTTAGTTGTTTTCCATCACAAGTTGTGTTCCATCTCATTTTTGTGAAAAATTCTGTGCAAATTCATGAAGGAAACAACCAACTCCTATTCCGAATTCTGAAGCAAATCGAATAATAGTAGGGGCCTACAACAACTGATTAGCTGAGATGCATACATTATTTATTATCAAGGTATCATCATCGACCATAGTTGTAAAGAGTCCTGGAACATTTCATACAAATGGTCATTCCACCCACATATTGTGCCAGAATTTAATCTTTCGAAATTTCACACCTTGAGGTCAAGTTGCTTCTTAAAATATTCTTACCTTTTATATTACCATTCCACAAGCCAACCCATACATTTCTCACCTTCTTTGTAATCATAAACTGTTTTCCTGAAGCATTCCCATAATTCTCCTCCACTATACTCCACAAAGAATCTGCCACTTCATCTGTAGTAGTTGGTTTGCTCTCAACATACAAATTCCCAATCCTTTTCTTGAGAAGTAAGAGCAGATGATCTGCCACTTCTCTCCTTCCCTTTCCGAAGATCAAAGAAGACACCACATCCAAAATCACCAAATGCAAATGATACTCAAACCCATTTCACTGCACAAGAAGTGTCTCCAAATCTTGTGTAGGTTGTTCTCACTACTAAGTTTGTATTGGTAAATAAAAAAATGAAATATGTTGGAAGGCTGGCATTGTGATTTTAATAAGAGCTAGTTTCCTTCGATAAACACTACCTCTTTACACTGCTACCCTCCTCTTAGTCTCTTAACTGTATGGAACAGAATTTCAGACAATTTTAGCCTTAAAGGAGGAGCCTAACGACAAATGCAGGACAATGGTATTGTTCCCATGCCCACAGCCCAAGTTCTCTGCCATGGCTTAAACTTCTGGTACCGTGCTAATCAGGTTCTTCTTTTTGTAATCATCCCATTGGGATCAATTCACCTTGCCTATGTTATTCATAGGTCAAACAACTTCAACACATCAGCGCTAGTGAGAAATCTGAGATGCCATTCTTCTGCTCCACAAAAAATAACATGACAGAAAGGCAGGTGAGAAACTAATACTAATTCTCCTCTATCCCCCACCATGAATCTCCTCAGTGTACCTCTGTCTTCAACACACACCTTGCAACTGGTAACACCTCCATGACTAGAATAAGAGAAGTGGGCATAGTGAGTCTTGCTTAAAATCTCTTGAACTTGAGAAAAAAAAACCCTTTCCTTTTGCCAGTGATTAGGATAGAGAATTTCAGCTTGGAGATAGCATATCAATAAACTAATCATTACCAAAATGCAAGGTTTTAAAAATAGCATATCAATAAACTAATCATTACCAAAATGCAAGGTTTTAAAAAGCGGTCACAACCGTTACGTAATGGTTGTGGTGGTGACCGTCACCCGTTACGGCCGCTTTTGCAGTGTGATTGAGATTCACAGGTGTGTCGGCCGTAGCGGTCGTAACGGTGCCGTAACAGCCGTAACGGCCTGTTATGCACCGTTACGTAACGGTTCCGAACTGTTTCTTTCGAAAAAAAAACACCAAAAAAAAGATGAAAATGGGGGAAGAGGGATAGAGAAAAGAGGGAAGATAAAGAGTGAAAATGAAGGAGCAAGAGATAGAGAGAAGAGGGAAGATGAAGAGCATGTTATTGATTTGTTGAAACTGTAAAATTTATGCTATTCTATTCAGCTGGTATTATTCAACCATTTTGTTTGTGTGTCTCTATCTATATATTATTTGAAAATAATAATAATAATAATAATAATAATAATAATAATAATAATAATAAGTGGTCATTATCTATTTGGCTTGGTTAAAATATGTGTATATATATATATATATTTAGGCTCTTATTTATTCTCTTACTTTTGGCATTTTTTATCTTACATATAATAGTTAATGATTGATTTTTTGTATAATATAAAGTCATTAATTATTAAAATAAAATGTAAAAAACTCAATTTATAGTGATTTAAAAATATGAAATATATTAGATCGTACTTAAAAGTTTACAAAAATTGATCAATATTTATTTTAAACCCAATAAATATGATCATGGGAGAAAAATATGTGTATCGGTAAGTTTTTTCAAATTGTGCGAAAGATGAAAAAATTCACGGTTTCGGTTATCGCAACTGTTACGTTACAGCCTTTAAACCCCACAACCGCAACCGCGCCACCGCCACCATTACGGCGACCGCAACTGTTTTTCAGAACCTTGCCAAAATGTGTAATATCTACCACCATGCCGTTTTAAGGATCGGTGAAATAACTGTAACTGCAATACTCTTCTCAAACTCTCCATGCTCATAGCCTTTGGACATCTATTAATCTTTTGCAAGTGTTATGTTTTAGCGTGTGCATATCTTAGTTGCAGGAATCGTCCTAACAGGTGACGAATCTTCGTTAGAAATGTGATTCCGTGTTTCTTAGAAAGAAACGTGTAGGAATCGTGTTTCCGTAGAGAGAGAAACACGATCCTAACCAAGATGGGATCGTTGGTGAAGAAGAACAAAAACCATAGCTTGTTGGTTAACAAAGAGGGAGGAGAAAGAAAGTGAAGAACTTGAAGGTTGTGTCTGGTATGTCGTTTGCTTCGTTTTTCTTCTTTCATCACTTCGAAGGTCGTCTCTCTCTCTCTCTCTTTGTGTTTTTTGTCTCTGTCGTGGATCGTCTTTCCCTCTCTCTCTGGCAAATAGTCTCTCTCTCTCTCTCTCTCTCTCTCTCTCTCTTTCTCTCTCTCGCAGATCGTCTCCTCTGCCTTCATCTTTGTCTCTGCCTTTGCCTTCGTCTCCTTTGCCTTCGTCTCCTTTGCTTCTCTCTGGCCTTCACGATGTATACCTAATATATAAGTGAAATATATATATATATATATATAGCTGGAAATTTGTGTTAATGCATATAATAAGATAGTGGCATATGATAGTGGTGTTGGTGGTAGATAGTGGCATGTATAGAATATGATAGTGGTAGATAGTGGTAATATATAATATGTAAGTGGCATATAATGGGTTATAATGATGTTTGATAATGATCACTTAGGAGAACCAAGTTCTATGGTGCCTAGTCAAGAAGATTCTTGTTTAGGGGGAGAAGTACTACAAAATGATCTAAATCCTGTAAATTAACAATAACACATTATTTAAAAAATATAATAAATAAATAAAATAATTAATGTGTATTAAAATAAAAGTATTTATAAAAAAACTTTTAATGTGTATTAAAATATATATATATATATATATTACCGCTTCCCGAGGCGTTCCCAACCTAAGAAACTTCTATCGGCTCACGCTCCCTCGCTCCCGCCCCCGCTTCCGCTTCGTGCAACTAAGGTGCATATTGAAGCCACATTTTGCAAAATACTATTTCTATCTATGGAAATTAGTTACCCTGCTAATGTCTTTGATTCTATTGAGTTTCTATTGCCCTATACAGAAATTTGTGTATTCTTTATTTTTCTTTTTTTCTTTAAAACACTCTTCTTTTGATTTCCTATTTTCAGCTTTTTGTTAGGCCTATTTGATATTTGTTGCGGTCAATAATTTGAAATTCCCTCATTTAAGAACAATGAATTTATGCTCCTTCTATTCTTTTGTTTATATTGTATAATGATACATAGTATAAAACATCACATGTGATATATAACTTCTTATTGACAATTATACTATCTCAAACAATTATTACTTACTATTAAGCTTTTCGATACTGTTCCTTAAGGGCAGGCTGCCAGTTTTGCAACAACCACCCCCCCCCCCCCCCAGTTTTGCAACAACCCCCCCCCTCCCCCCACAATGCGAAGGGAAATAATAATAAAAAATACAAAACAGAGGAACAAAAAAAAGAAAAAGAAAAGCAGAACCCTTTAAAATGGGAGCTATTATTAATCTTATCTGGAGGGAGCTTGTTTTTATTCCTTTACCTCTGTATTGGATTACTGCATACTGCACTTCAAGTTCCTTGCAATAATTTTTTTTTTTTTATCTTGGTTGACATCTGTGTATGACAATATTCTTCATATCTTGTTGCTGATTGGTGTGATGTTGCATGTATCTGAATCCGTGTGTTTTATGAAGAGTTACATATTTGTCTCTCTTTCTCAGGAAGCTGAGAAGCATCTTTCAGAGATGGTTGTCTCTAAAGCGCTGGTAGCAAAGATTGATCGGCCAATGGGTATAGTCTGTTTCCAGGCAGCAAAGGACAGCAATGACATTTTGAATTCGTGGGCTATGAACTTGGAGAAGTTGCTTGACCTTGTGGAGAAGAGTTGCCACCAAATCCACAAGGAAACTATGGTTCACAAAGCTGCCTTGAAAGTTTGAAAATGCTGATGGCACTAATTTCAAGTAGACTTCTTTATTCATTGTGTCTGCTATTAGCATGAACATATATATAAATATTTAATATTGCATCGAATGTATTAAAATTTGCTACTTTGGTAGTCGTGTTATAATTTGTTTTTTGACTTGTCTTTTAATTCTTTGCAGGGTGTGCTCTGCTGTGTTTTGAGGACCTATTGACAGAAACCAAAATGGGTTGGTCTTGTTGCAGCGGGAAGAGATTATTATGTGCTTATATCTGTTTCCTCCATCCTTCGGCTTTATTAAAAGATTGATTATAGATTCCACATGGTTTCTGCCTTTAAGTCTTTTGTGCTTTTTATTAGTGTTTTATCGCAGTTGATTTACTCATTGGGATGATAGATTGGTAGTTGTGATATGAAAATTAGCAGGCCTATGGTATTTGTTGTCTACAGTAAAATGATTTCTGAATCAGATGTGGATTATGTTTAACTTCTATAATACAATGCTTTGCAAGGTTTGTGAGTAATATTCTACTGCATCTGGTTCAACAAATCCCGATATCAGAGTCTTAATCTTAAAATTAACCCTATTTGTTTTTTGTTTTTGATTTTTTTTTTGGGGGGGTGCTTTTGTAGATACAAATGGAAAAGCTATTCAATGCTTCTACAGTGTTACGTGTTAATGTTTTGGGACTAATCCATACATTGTCTCATTATGTTCTTTAAGCATCCGACACAAAATCGTGAGTTTTACTTTTTTCATCCATCGCAACACTTTGGAGCACAATGTGGTTGTGTCCTAGGAGCACCCAATTCCCAATAACCACTCGCACAAATGAGATGCTTCATAGATTAAGATTGGTGTTGGATCAAAGATTCTCCAATAGATATGGAATATGATGATTATTGCATCACTCTGGTTAAGGGGGTCGGTCGTTAGGAGTATCTATGACCAGTGATTTTGTGCTTTGAAATATGTTGGCTTTTTCTCTCTTTGCCATTGTATAGTGTTATTAAAAACGTGTAGAAAGTGTTGAAAAGTATTAAAATGCGTGGAAATATTTTAGGATACGCTGAAAGGTGTATTGAAGTTAAAAGGTGTTTTGAGATTATAAATATGTTGATATTTTGTAAAAATAATTCTTAGTTTTTAAGATTGTCGTTAGTAGAAAATGATTTGAAAACGGACATCACTAAGCTTGTATTAAATTACAGCAGTACCCTTTTAAAATAGAAAAATAAAAAACAGAAAAAGGTCTCTTCCCAACATCCTACTCGCAAAAGCCCCAACTACTGTTTGTCATAGCCTCATCCTCATCCTCTGCCTCCAGTGTGTCCTTCATCCATCCTATTGGAAGCCAAACACCTTTTCTCTTCTGTTCTTATCTCATTCCAACAATCCCCAATTCATTTTTTTTGTTTTGTTTTTGGGTTGAAAGACTCATCCATGTTATTCTCTTTAAATATAATCCAACAACATGTTATTTTGGCCAAAACATTAACTGAGTGGATAAGATGTTCTCTTATTTGGATGTGATGTGCAGGTTCAAGTTTTATTGCTGAAAAAAAAAAAAGGGAGGGGAAAGGAAAACGGTAAACACATACTGCAATAACTTTGCATGATTTCATGAAGAAACAAGATTTCAGCAATAACACGCACAAAATGATGTGAAACTCATCATAACCTAATACAAAAAATTAATTACGATAGCTATAAAGTCCAATTGAAAAATAAAATCGACAAAACAAGTTCAAAAAAGCTACCAAAAAGTTCAAAATTCAAAAAAGCAAACAAGAAGAAAAAACCAAAATTATCCTGAAGAGGAAGGCTGATGAGTAGAATCTGACCAAGTGGCAGCCAGAAAATCTGTATGACTACTGTGACCGGTGGTGGGTGGCCCAAGTTCATGCGGTGGCTGAGCTTGAAAAAGCCGAGGAACAGAAGAAGGTGGTAGCGGTGGTGACGAAGATGATGATGAAACAGGGTACCTAACTGAAGAAGAAGAAGAAGAAGATTGAATATGGGAACCCATTGAAGAAGATGACAACATCATTTGATCCAACAAACTGAAGCTTGTAGGCTGTCTTAGAAGAAGCTTATTATTATCATCAGAATAATTCCACTGAGAGTTGTTGTAGTAGTTCATGTAGTCTGTGCTCATCCTCTGCAACTCCAAGTTATGATAATAAGAAGGTTGAGAATGAACAATGGGCTCACTCGATGTCGAAACAGAGACAAGGCTATCATTTGTATTTGTATTTGGAGGATTAGAAACAGCGGTCGGTGGCGAGTGTCGGAGTCTGACATTTTCAGGGAAGTTGAGTTTGGCCTTGTTGCCTCTGAACTTGAGAGCAGCTTCATCATAGGCCATTGCAGCAGCCTCAGCAGTGTCAAATGTGCCTAACCAAACCCTTGCAGCCTTGTAAGGGTCTCTTATTTCAGCTGCCCATTTTCCCCATGGCCTCTGTCTCACTCCTCTGTATTTTCTCCTTTCCTCTGCTCCTCCTCCACCTCCTCCTCTTCCACAGGACTCACTGGTTTCATATGTGTATGTGGTTTCTGCTGCTGCCATGCTGCTTGTTCTACTACTTGAACCTTCTACAAACCAAAACAAGGGTTAATAATTCAAAACTCCATGGCATTACACAAATCGACATTGAATTCTATTTACTTATTACTCTCAATAGCACTACCCAAAAACTAAATGAAGTAGGTATTAATTAGTTAGGTCACATAAAACATCAGTCCACAAATTAATTAATTGACCTATTTAGTATTTATATAGGTGGTGCTACATGCACCTAGTATACTAACTAATGTACTAACACTAGTTATGACTTTATTATTGACTTCACTCATTATACAAATTACAAATATCAAAAACTTCTTAAATTATGCCACATCATCAATTAGTACACTAGTTAGTACACTAATTGATGCATATAGTATTATTCATTTATATATGTAGACTTTTATTTTACATTCTTTTGGGGTGGGAAGTGCCTACTATATATTGTTTAAGGGTCGTACTATATGCAGATTATGACATTTGTGGAGTTGATTATTACAAATATAATAACTAAATCATTTTTAGTCATAATTAAGAAAAAGAAATAACGTATAACCAAAGTCTTTTTGGATCATAACCAAAGCAATATCATAATCAACGTCACAATAAATTATAACTAACACCACAATGCGTTATAAGCAACTCATAACTAATACCACAATAAATCATAATCAAAGACTACAAATATCGTAACTGGAGCATATGGTATCATTCAAAAAAGAGTATGTATAATTGTTTATATCTAATATTTCAATCTCACTTCTAGAGTAAGTAAGGGTAATCATTCAGAATTGTGAAATATGAACACGTGATATTCTATAACATTATGATTGGTGAAGAAGGTGGGTAGATGAGGTATTGTGTTGGGTGATTGAAAAACATGAGGTGACATACTGAATGATAATTGATTAGAGAGTACAAACACGTATTACTCAAAAAATATTGAATAATTTTCCAGTAAATATTGGGTGTAGCATTGATATCACATAATGATACTATTAATCAATAAGAGTTCTCACATTGTAGAACAAATATTGAGTGCAACGTGATATTAACCTACATCACTAGCAAATGAAATATTACAAATGACATTGAGTGAAATATCTTATCTTCTACGAACCCAACCAACGTCACTACCGCAATGAAAGATCTTTCATTAGTTAGTGATGAAGATCCTTTATTATAGTACTGTTAGTTATTAATATATATATATATATATATATATTTTAAATTTTAAATGGTTAAATTCTCTAAGTTATTTAAATATGATATGGGGTTAAAGTATAAAATAAAAAATTTGAACAAAATATAACAAAAGAATTAGTTTATGAAAACAAGTGTCATTACAAGCTCTAACTTGCAAAAAAGAGAAAAAATGTGGAGAAATCAACAAGTTAATTGATCACATTCATTAAGAAAAACAGGACTTAGGATTTTAAGGTCAATTTAATTACAAATATTTTTAATGACATTAAAAAAATGTAGAATTCAAAATGTCTTCCTTTATTAGATAGATTATCTTATAGTTCCTATCTTTTGCAACTCAAAGTAGATATAAAAAAAATACATTATTTATTTTTATAACAGTTAAAATTCATATTATAATCTATACTTTCACTTTAAAATTTTTATCAATATGTATTTGTAACTCTATGTTAGAATCCTAGTCCTCGATTAGTGATAGTCACATGACATCACCACTACTATACTCAAGATTTAAGGCTCGTTTGGGAATTAATTTTTTTAATATTTATTTTTATATAAAAAGATGTGTAAAAAAATTAAAAAGAATAAATTGACAACTTATAATATTTTTTGACTAAAAATATGTCTTTACATGGTAATGGTGGCAGGAAAGGAACTAGGAAAAGATTATAGGGGCCATGGCTACCCTATTTGTGTAAAAAAATACGATTTGTTATAATATTTTAAATATATATATGTCTCATTTTATATATAAAATGACCCATAGTATGAAAAATACATATCTCATTTTTATCTCATCTTGCATTCTCTTTTTATTTTGCACCTAAATTTTTTTTTCATCTTATTAGAAATTGCTTCTATGGTATTTAAATTTTTTTTATGTATATAGATATAATTTGTATATCATATTGTATGTATATGTGTGCTTATATATATGGTAAAATTTTTTATTTGTCGTTTGATTCTTCCATTGATAAAATCCTAATTCCGTCTATGAATAGTGGAGATTATACGCCTAAGTTAGCAGAGGTACGAGTTATTCATTTGATCTCAATATTTACATTATATACTTATAAATGACAAAAATAAAAATTTATGAGAAAAAAGAGGATAAAATTTGTAAAAAGTTTAATCGGTGCATCAAAGTTAATACACACTCACTTTCTTAATTTTTTTTGCCTAGTTGGTGCTCATTTTTTAAAAATATAATAGTCGTGTGTATACATATAAAATGTAAGAATGAAAATCAGATCAACTAATATATATATATATATATATGAATAAGTCTACTGTTCCAGATTTATCCACTCAATTTTTTTTAAATAGGTTATTGTATGGTAAAAATTAAATTTGTATGATGTAATATTCATATATAGAATAAATTTGAATTACAAAATAATAATTTTTAATAGTAATACTTTATAACTCGAAAAAAGTTGGCCCGAAGTGGCTTGAATACCCAAAATGATGTCGTTTTGGGTATTTTTTTTTTCTTCTTGCTTTCGAATACAGACAAAAGAACGGGAGAGAGGAGGGGGAAGAGAAGAGGAAGAGAGAGAGAAGAAAGAGAAAAGATGGAGAGAAGGAGGAGGAAAAAAAGAAGACGGTGATGGCGGAGAAGAAGACGTGGTAGCGGTGATGGCGGATGAGGAAGAGAAGGAGGATCTATGTGTGTATACACACACAAGAGATAGTGATGACGGCCTCTCTCTCTCTCTGCCGGTGGCGGTGCCCGTGTGTATCGCCATCCAGATCTACTGGTGGGTCTCTCGCCTCTTTCAGATTTTATAATTTATTTTTATTTATTTATTTTTGTGATCATTGTTGGTTGTTGTTGATGATGTAAATCCAGATCCACCACTACCACTACCACCACCACCGAAGTCTCTATTTTCTCTACTCTCTCTTTAGTGGATCTGAGGTTTCTTTCTCTCTCTCTATCTCTGCAACTGTTAATTGGATGAGAATGAGAGAAGATGAAAAAAAAAAGAATTGTTGTTGAAATTTTTTCAGATTCTACATTATTTATTTATTTTAATTTTTTTGTGATTGTTGGTTGTTGTTGATGATGAAAGAAAAAAAAAAATTTGTTGATGATTGTTGATTGTTGTTGATGATGATATGTTATTGAAATTTTTTTAGATTCTAAATATTTTTTATTTTTGTGATTGTTGATTATTGTTGATGATAATGTGTTGTTGTATCTCTCTCTCTCTCTCTGTTCTCCTTCTCTCTTCTTTGTTTCTTCTCTCTTTCTCTCTCTTTCTTCTCCCCCTCTCTGTTTTAGAGAGAAAAGAAAAAGAAATAAAAAAAAAAATCAACCTCTGTGTTTCAGAGAAAAAAGAAAAGAAAAATTCAAAAACGATGCCATTTTTGAATTCGAGCCATTTTGACCAGTTCTGTTTCGAGTTACCTAAAAGCGCTGAATTTTTAAATAATTATGTCTGCATCTCTAATATTACTGTATTTTGTCTTTAGTTTGAATGTCATGCTTGAATACCAACACTGTACGCATTTCAAAGTTGGTTAATAATGATGATTATTTGGTCTAACCACACAGGTTGGACTTGTACATAGACAAGCTTTGAACTCATATAGGGGCAATTTGTAAAAGTTAGGTTTTAGTTTTTAACTGATTTTAAATTACATCATCTTTTATATTTTTTACATATAAAATAATAATAAAATTTTTAAAAATTTACTTTTAACTAACTTCTCAAATCATCCCATACTCATTAGATACATTTTATTTGGATTTTAATACTTATTCTACCAACCTTATGTCTTAACTCACCAAGTCATAGATCCTAAGAAAAAAATCCACGACATAGTTATTAAGGCCAATTTTAATAATTAAGAATTTTTTTTTTACTTTATTAACTTATTTAACTCATATCACATTTTAATTTTTTTAAAACTTTTTTCAAAAAAAAAAAAAAAAAAAATTTAAAAAAAAATCACTTCCTTAAATATTAGTGGAGTTTGTCCGAGATTCATTAGATGAGTAATTATGAATATGTCATGTGATGTGAAATAATAAAAATAAATGGTAGGTTTTATAATTATTGATGTAATGCAATTCAACAAATGCATCTAATTTTTATATTCAACCAATATATTTAAATAACATGTGTATCATATTAAGATAGGACATAAAATAAGATGAGCAGTGCAAATTAAACTAAAAAATTAGATTTATTTTTTAAGTTTAATGATCAAATCACTCTTATATGTTATTTTTTCTTTAATTATCAACTAATTATTTTAATTACACATCATTAATTTCAAAAGTGAGTCTAGAAAATAAATTTATATACTATTTTCCTAAAAAGATATATGCTCATCAACCGTAGCATTATTATGAAACCAGATATTCTGGGGCTAAGGAAAGCTACCAATAATAAGTGTACTTATTAAGATAAGTGTATTTATTTGAGTTACATCATATATTTATTTTTTTATATATCTTTTTATAAAAAGTTAAAAAATATATTTATTTAGATTATTCTAAATAACTCCTTATATTTATGAGGCCTTTCACAACAATTTTAGATGAGAAAGTGAGAGTTTATTAAAAGGGAGAAATACTTTTCAGTGGAGTTGGGAGAAATTTTTCTATAAAGGCTGTTTTGGTAATACATTAAAAAAAAATTAAAAGTAAATTTTTAATTTATTTTGGATCATATTGCTTCTCACATAAAACAGTAAAAAAGTCAAAAAAAACTTTTAACCATCTTTCCAAAACATCCCAAATTAGGGAGAACCTATAGTATTTTAATTATTAAAGTGTATAAATTTTAACACTAAGGTTTGTTTGGGAAAGTTGAAAAAAAACTCAATTTTTTAGTTTTTCTAAAAAATCGTACAAGAAAAAAAATAGTAAAAAAAGAGAGGATAATTTGATTAAAATAAGTCAATAAATCAATAAATTGAATTTTTTTTTAATGGTCAAAATAAACCTAATATATATATATATATATATATTTGACACTAATAAGATATTTGAATATACTATTATTTTCACCAAAAATGTTAAAAATTTTACTAAAATTTTTATTAAATGTCTCACTGAGTGTGAGACTTACATAAGACTCACATTATGTAAATCTTACACCCATATAAGATATTATTTAATAAAATTTTTGATAAATTTTTCAACATCTCTGGCATCACTCTTTTAATTTCCCCCTTATTAAAACATACCTTTAAAAGTAAGAGATGAACCACCAAATGGGAAGTCAGCATATGCCGTACAAACTCGTGCTACTGGTTCAGAGATACCACCACCACGACCATCCTGTTCACGTCCTCTCTTCTCTCCAACAGATGATGAACCACCACCACCACCACCACCGCCACCGCCACCGCCACCAGTTATATCATTATCCCGAGTGAGGTCTCCTCCAGAAACCACATGGGTGAGTGCAGATACCATGGCGGACATCTCCATCTCCCTACTGTATTGGTATCCGTAGAGTAACTCATCTCTTTCTCTCTCCTGCTCTTCCTCCAAACCACCTCTCAACCTCACACTACTCTCGCCGGACTTCCTTGAATTCGCCACCTTGAAGCTGAACACACACATGTAACTAATATATTAATTATATGGTATAATACTATCTATCTATAGAGAACTTAGTTGAGCTGAGCTGAGTTGAACTAGTAAGTTGACAATAATAATAACCCATCAATAAGTCAAGTTGATCCATCCTCATCATCATGATTTATATAAAAAAATCAAATTGTGTGGCGGTGATGGCGGTGCTAATATAAAATATATGAATTAAATAAACCGCCTCCATTAAAAGAGTCGGTCTGTATCAGCCACCTTCAGTTTGAAGCAACCAAACTTGAGGTAAAAAAGAGTTTCTAGTTTTCCTCTTTCTTTTGGGCTTTGACTTATAAAATATCTTTGTTTCAATTATTATTATTTCCTATTTATTTTGACACACTAGTGAAGCTGCGGACAATAAAAGGGTTCTGATTGTGTGAAGGCATACGTATGCATTTTTGGATTTATAATATAAATTATATTAGGATTGAGAGAGAGAGAGAGAGAGAGAGAGAGAGAGTCAAAGAGAATTACTTGCGGGTGTGAATTCACAAACAACAACAGTCGGTATACAAAATTTTGTCTGTTTCAGTCGGTGTTCATATTTTTAGCCGACATTCCACTTCTTGGGCTCTATTTCGCCCAATTCCAACTAGAACAATGATATATAAATATATTTTTATACTTATTTTATAAATTTAATGATGTATAAGTAACATGATCGATTAATAATTAGAAAAAATATGAGAGGGTGTTACCTTTAATATCTTAATTGATTGTTACATTACTGAACTTGAAAATTGAGTTTAATTTTTAATTTTAAATAATACTATTCCAATTAAGAGCATCTCTAATGAAGATATTAAAATTATGTGGGTTAGTATGTGTTATATGATAAAAAATGAAAAAAGCGAGATATATTTTTATGTGTTATAAGGTTTATTAATTTGGAGGGTGAGAAGTGGTGCAATGGATATGTTAAGGAAGGAAATTATTTAATATTTTCGAAGTACTACGTGTCTGTATTTCCTAACAAATCATTATTCAATATGCCCCTTATGTTCTCCAATCACTCACCACAATACCCCACTTATCCACCCACAACACCAATTATAATATTATAGAATATCACGTGCTCATATTTCAAGATTACTGAATAATGTGTTAAATGCATAGAGTTATCCGAATTGTCCAACCCACTCAACCCGAACTGATCCGCATATAAATGGACAGTTTCACAAACACAATGTGGGCGGATGCAATTTGGAATTTGACATGATTGCGGATTGCGGGTTTAACCTGCATTCGTAAGAACCCGCTTGTATTTAGATTTTTTTTTTAATTTTTTAATTTTTTAAACCTGGACTGTTGTTATTTTATTATTGCATTTTGGATGAATGTAAAAATTAATGAAGAATTACATTTAGGTAAGCTTTGGATTTTAAATGATTTTACTTTAATTGTATTGTTAGGTAGTAGATAGTAAATGAGATCTAGTTTAGGATTTTGAAAGATGTGCTTGTGTTAGTTTATGATTTGATTTAAAAGTTTAATATTTTGAATGATTTGTTTGTGTTAGAAATTGATTTTGTTGTGTTTTTAATTTTATAAATTTTAATTCATTAATTATTAATGTTGAAGCATTTTAGAAAATGGGGGGAAAAGGGCCCAAAATAAATATTTACAAAATGGGAAAAAAAAAGGCTCCATAATAAATTTTTAAAGAAAAAAATTCAATACGCAAACCGCTCATAACCGCCCGCACATCCGCGAATCCTATCCGCATAAACCGTAACCCACACTACGGGCGGTTGTGGGTTAAATTTTTTCCAAACCGCATACATGCAGGTGGGTCCAAACTAATTCGCAAACCATCCAAAACCGAACTGCAACCACCCCTACATTTGACAATCATTTTTTGGCTAAAAAATATAAAAGATTAAATAAGTCAATAAAATAAAATGTTACATTTAAATTATAGGTATTTCATTTTTTTCTTATAAAAGTAAAAAAAATAAAAAAATCAAACCAAATAAATTTTTAATTCCAAATTAAAATAGTTAAAAACTTATTGAGATATGCTTCATATTATCTGATACATATCAGATATACATCTGTAACTCCTTTATCATTATTTGTATCTATCCTTATCTCATAATTTGTATAAGTAGCACAGAATAGTTGTGGAAATAATATAATACAAAAATCATTTTCCTTTGAATCCAATCATAATCTTTACAACAGATTGTTCAAGTTGGTATCAGAGCCAATGGCTTCTGAAATTTCATCCTCTAGTGCTATTCCTCCCTCTGCCACAGCACCTTCACCCACCTCTCTTACTCATGCTCATCACTTCACCTCTCTCAAACTCACATCCACCAATTTTCTCTATTGGAAAACTCAACTTCTTCCTTACCTCCGTGGCCAACAACTCTACCAATATATTGATAGTATATTCTCTTGCCCACCATCCATGGTTGTCCTGGATGGCATCTCTACTCCCAATCCTGCACATGCGACTTGGCAATGTCAAGACCAACTCATCCTAAGCCTTCTAATTGCCTTTCTTTCGGATGAAATTTTACCTTTTGCCGTCGGTTGTAATTCTTCTTGTACTCTTTGGCTCACCCTTGAGCAGTCCCTCGCCTCACCGTCTCAAACTCGGCTTCTTCAACTTCGTTTGAGCCTTCAACAATTGAAACAGAATGATCGCTCTGCCACTGTTTTTCTCAATGACACCAAAACCATTGCCGGTGAACTTGCAGCTGCTGGCATTCCTCTCTCTCTTTCCGAGTTCAATCTTTATGTCTTCCAAGGCCTTCATCCCGACTTAAAGGATCTCGTCAAGACCCTCACGGCTCGACCAGATCCTGTTTCCTTCTTGGAACTCCACAGTCTCCTTTTAAGCCATGAGTTTCTTCATCGCACCACGCCCACTCCTGCTCCAACATCTATTCTACAGGCTCACTTTGCGCAGCCCACCTTTCGTGGCCGTTCGTGTGGTGGTTTTTCTCGTGGCCGTGGTCGTAGCCGGGGGCGCGATGGGCACGATCGCCCTTTACCCAATTTTGGCTCTCAATTTTCTGGTGGCCCGGGCCTCCTCCCCATCCCATCTGCTGATCATCGTGTCCGTTGCCAAATCTACAATCGGACCAATCACACTATTTCTCAATGCTATTCTCGGTTTGACCGCATGGTTGCTCCAAGTGCTCACTTCACTAGCTATGGTTCCGAGCCCCCTTCTAGTCAATATGGTGGCTTGAGTTCTTTTCCTTCATCTTAACTCGATTGGTTTCTGGATACCGGTGCTACACACCATGTCATCCCCGATCTCATGGTACCTCTCATCTTCGCGTTGGTAACGATATGGACATTCCAATCACCCATATTGGTTCCTCCACTCTTTTTTCTCCCTCTCGTTCCTTTCATCTTAACTCCATTCTTCATGTTCCTACTTTTCAGAAATCATTACTTTCTGTCCATCAATTTACTAAAGATAATAATATGTTTTTTAAATTTTATCCCACCTATTTTTTGATTAAGGACCAACTCACCAAGAGAACTTTTCTCCATGGCAAGAATGAAAATGGTCTCTACCAGCTCTCTCTAACCTCTCCTTCCCCCCCTGAAGCTCTCTCCTCTGAAGTCGTATCTTCTTTTTGCTGGCACCGTTGTCTTGGTCACCCGCATGAGCGTGTTCTTCGTCTCATCCTTTAAACTCACACTCTTCCTGTTCAACATCCACGGACTTGCATACCAATGTGTCATGCCTGTCCTCTTGGCAAGTCATCCAGACTTTCTCTACCGTCTTCTCCAAGTCGTAGTTTGGCTCCTTTAGATTTAATTTTTAGTGATGTTTGGGGACCTTCCCCTTTTCCTTCCAGTGAAGGTCATAAATATTTTGTAATCTTTGTTAATGACTTTTCTAAATTCATTTGGTATTTTTCCATGTTTAATAAATCCGATGTGTTTCATATTTTTCAAAATTTTAAAAGTTTGGTTGAACGGCAGTTTTCTCGCAAAATTAAAATTATGCAAATTGATTGGGGTGGTGAATATTGTAAACTAAATTCATATTTTCAAAACTTGGGTTTTATTCACCGCCTTCCCTGTCCACATACGCATGAACAAAATGGTTTGGTTGAACGACGTCATCATCACATTGTTGAAACCGGCCTAACCTTTCTCACTCATACTTCTGTGCCGCATAAATATTGGCATTTTGCCTTTGACACTGCTGTCTACCTCATTAACTGAATGCCCTCTAAAGTCATTAACAATATCTCTTTGATTCAATGCTTGTTTTCTAAATCACTCGACCACAATTTTTTAAAATTTTTTGGCTGTCTTTGTTTTCCATTTCTTCGTCCCTCTAACACCCACAAAATTTCTTTTCGCTCTGCTCCTTGCGTGTTTCTCGGGTATAGTCCGTCTCATCTTGAATATCGTTGTCTTAACACCTCCACTGGTCGCCTTTACATTGTCCGTCATGTTCGGTTTGATGAATCCACATTTCCTTTCTCCACATCCTTTACCTCTTCCCACCGGCCTCACCCACCACTTTCACATCCATTCCTTCTTGCCCCCACTCACGTGTTCCGGCCTCTATCTACTGCTATACAAACGAACCATCCCATACCCACTGCAACACTAGATACTGTTGTTGCCTCTCCTCTACCCACCTAGCTATCCACGGCTCCACATACTGTTGCCTCCCCTATCTCGTCCCCTATCTCTCCTGCTATGAGTCCCCCCACCCCACTCCACCAAACCCGTGGCCTCAACCTTATCGTTGACCTCTACTCCTCCCCTGTCTCTATTCCTCGTCGCACTCATCCCATGCTTCTTCGGAACATGTCAACCCAAGCCAATGCCTTACTTACTACGTCTGTTTCTACCAACTCAGTTGAACCCACCTGTTTCACTTCAGCTAACAAATCTCCCATTTGGCACAAGGCTATGGCTGAGGAACTCAATGCCTTAATCCGTAACGGCACTTAGAGCTTACATCCGGTCACTCCCAGTATGAACATTGTTGGCTGTAAATGGGTATTTTGGATTAAGCATCGGGTTGATGGTTCGATCGAGCGCTATAAGGCGCACTTAGTTGCCAAAGGCTTTCATCAACAGGAGGGATTGATTACTTTGAAACATTCAGTCCCGTGGTTAAACCCACGACCATTAGAACTGTTTTGTCTCTTGCTGTCTCCAACAATTGGTCCATTTGACAACTCGATGTGCGCAATGCCTTTCTTCAT